GTCTCGGTGGCAGAAGATGGCTGGAGGCCTCGCCGGTGGAGGGTTGTTAAAGCGTAGGAATTGTGGGAACTGGCTGAACCCTCTAGGGTGGCCTATCACATATATTTATAAGGTTACACAGTTGGGCTACGTTATAAAGTCTAACACCCTTCCTCAATCTCAACTCACTCCTGAAGCATCTAGGAGGTTGAGATTGCGCCTACAGACCTCGAACATAGGAGAAGGTAGAGGCTTGGTGAAAATGTCGGCAAGTTAATCCTTCGAGGAGATAAACTTGATCTGTAGTAGTTTCTGTGCAACACGTTCCCTCACAAAATGATAGTCAATCTCAATGTGTTTTGGTTCGTGCATGAAACACCGGGTTTGTCGAAAGAAACGTAGCACCGATGTTGTCACACCAAAGAACTGGAGGATGTGGCTGGAAGATTCCCAGCTCTCGAAGCAAAGACTCAATCCAGATAAGCTCAGCAGTCGCATTGGCAACTGCTTTGTACTCGGCCTCTGTGCTGCTGCGAGAAACAGTGGCTTGCTTGCGTGCACTCCAGGCGATCAAATTAGGACCCAAAAATACAGCATATCCCCCCGTGGATCGCCTGTCATCCGGACACCCAACCCAACCAGCATCTGAGAATGCAGATATAACAGCAGAGGAACTAGGTCGCAGATGAAGACCATAAGAGACAGTGAGACGCACATAACAAAGAATGCACTTCACAGCAGACCAGTGCACATCAGTAGGAGCATGAAGATACTGACATACCCTGTTAACCGCAAAGGAAAGATCAGGGCGTGTGATAGTCAGATACTGCAAGCCACCAACAATACTCCGATACTCCGTAGCATCCGTAGGAGATAGAATAGAACCAGCAGTAGCCGAGAGCTTGTCAGTAGAGGACATGGGCGTGGGGGATGACTTACACTTGAGCATACCGGCACAACGCAAGAGGTCAAGGGAGTACTTCTTCTGGGTGAGAGCTAAGCTGCCACGAGACTGATGTGCAACTTCAATGCCCAGGAAGAAGTGTAGCTGTCCCAAGTCTTTTACCGCAAAATCTCTGCCAAGTGCAGTCACAAGAGCATCAGCAGCCGCTGCAGAGGAGCTGACCAGAATAATGTCATCCACGTACACAAGCAAATACACAGTCACACTGGGGCGCTGAAATAAGAACAGCGAGCTGTCAGCTGTCGACGGAACGAAACCATGAGTACGAAGGGCCGAAGCAAGGCGAGCATGCCAGGCACGAGGCGCCTGTTTCAGTCCGTAGAGAGCCTTCTTCAGACGACAGAGATGATGAGGCTGAGCGTGATCAACAAACCCTGGTGGCTGCCGCATGTAAACCTCCTCTTCAAGCAGCCCATGGAGAAAAGCATTTTGCACATCAAGCTGTCGAAGAGACCAACCACGAGAGACTGCAAGAGACAGGAGGAGCCGGATAGTAGTAGGCTTAACAACCGGGCTGAATGTGTCCTCATAGTCCAGACCCTGACGCTATTTAAACCCTCTAGTCACGAGACACGCCTTGTAGCGCTCAATAGAGCCGTCCGCATGTCTCTTGACTTTGAAAACCCACTTCGAATCAATGATGTTGACGCGAGGCGGAGGGGAACCAATGTCCATGTCTCATTATGCATAAGAGCATGGTACTCTTGCTCCATAGCTGCCCGCTAGTGAGGAATACTCATAGCGCCCTCATAGTTGCGTGGTTCATCAGTAGGATCTGCAACAAAATGAGCAAGACAGGCAGCCAAATATGTGACAGTACCATCATGACGTTGCTTGGGTTGAACAATACTGCTGCGGCTGCGAGTATGCGGTCATTGCGGTGCAACGGGAACAGGAGCAGGCGGCGCCAATGCGGGAGACGATGACGGCAGGGCAGGCGACAGGAGCCCAAGCGAGAGCTCAGGCGAGAGCTCAGGTGAGTCGACGGTAGGCCCAACCGACCCAGGTAAAAGGGGCGGCAGGGACATACGGGCGGGCGACGAAGGCGATGACGGAGGCGAGGCCGGGCGTGGAGACGGTGACGAGGACCGCTCGAGCCGCCCAGGGGAGACTGTTGGAGACATGGGCCGCGCCTCGGCTGACGTGGGCCATGCCTCGGCTGGCACAGGCCCAGGTTAAGAGGCCGTCGCCGGTCTAGTTGCATGGGCGGGCGCGGCTCCAGAGACGGGGTCGACGACGGGAGTCAGTGCATGCACATGCACCGGCCGATCAACGTGCGTCACATGAGTTGCATCCGGAAGTAGTTCCAAGCGAGCACCACGTCCAATACCTGCACCATGGTTAGGTAACAACACAGGCGAATATGCAACATCTTCAAATTGGCCAAGCAAAATAGGAAATGAATGCATAGATGGGGGTGTGGCAGGTTGCTGCGGCATGGCGGAAAAGGGGAAGACATTCTCATCAAAGACAACATCACGGGATATGTAGACACGATTTGTTGGCACATGAAGGCACTTGTAGCCTTTATGAAGAGAACTATAACCCAGAAACACACATTTCTTAGACCAAACTTCAAGCTTTCTATGATTATATGGACGAAGATGGGGCCAACAGGCACACCCGAACACCTTAAAAAAGGTATAGTCAGGAGTTTCATGTAAAAGGAGCTCAATAGGAGTTTTCATATTAAGGACACGGGTAGGTAGTCGGTTAATAAGAAAACATGTTGTAGCAAAGCCATCACTCCAAAAACGAAAGGGTACAGAAGCGTGAGCCAGGAGTGTGAGTCCAGTCTCAACTACATGTCGATGCTTGCACTCAACAGCGCCGTTCTGCTGATGTGTATGTGGACATGATAAACGATGAGAGATCCCAAGCTTATTAAAGAAAGTATTGAGGTTGCGATATTCGCCCCCCAATCGGACTGAACATGGATAATCTTATGCTTGAGAAGACATTCTACATGCACTTGAAACTGAATGAATATATCAAACACATCAGATTTGCGCTTAAGAAGATAAAGCCAGGTAAAGCGACTATAGGCATCAATAAAGCTAACATAATAGTTGTGACCACTCACAGACGTTTGGGCGGGACCCCACACATCAGAAAACACAAGTTCAAGAGGACTCGTTACTTGACGAGTAGAAGAAACAAATGGTAAATGATGACTTTTTCCTTGTTGACAGGCATCACACACGGACATCTCCTTATTGCTAGACTCGATAGGCAGCTCATGACGGTGAAGTATATGGCGAACGATGGGAGTGGCAGGGTGACCAAGGCGAGAGTGCCACTGGGACGGCGACACACGAACACCACTGAAGACGCGCGTCGCGGATGGATCCTCCAAGCGGTATAAGCCATGGCTGAGATGACCACTAAGCAGAATTTCCCGGGTGGCTCGGTCCTTAACAAAAAGATCAAACGGGTGAAATTCACATAGGACATTGTTATCAAGAGTGAGCTTTGGAACAGATAACAGATTAAGAGTCACCGAGGGGATCCATAAAATATTATGAAGATGAAGCTGCCTAGATGGATGACTAGTTAAGAGAGATGCTTGACCAACGTGAGAGATGGGCATACCTACACCATTGGTGGTGTGAACCTTGTCGTGACCGTAGTATGGCTGGTGGGTGGACAGCTTGGTGAGCTCGTTCGTCATATGATTCGTGGCGCCAGTGTCCACA